AATGAATCAGTGCATTTGGCTTTCATATCTCTGAGAGCTGGAAGCTACAGTTAGAATTCAACTGATAGTGTATGCTTTCATTTAAACCACGTTTTTGGGTTTCTTTTAAAGTTGAAAAGTTACTCAGTCAAGCTCAACTCCAAACTTGTAAGAAAATCGCTCATTTCTTGATTAAATAATAATCAAATGGCGATTACTACTGATTGACCACACAAAAAATGTGCATCTTAACCTACAGCCAACACATTTAGTTCTACTAAAACAAAAGCAATATAGTGAAACGCTAAAAAAAAACTATTAAATACGTATTTAATGTGCAATTACCTGGGCTCCACACTAAGGAAGTTGGGCAGCTTCACAAAATACAAATCATTACCCAAGTCTGTGTTTACTTTTGGTATTTCTACCTCTATCCTAGTCTCTGGAATAGGCTCCTCTTCCTGCTGTTCTTGATTCAGTCCATTCTCATCCTAATGATGAAAAAGTAAAATAAGAAGCATAAGTCAAAAATACCATTCTTACTGTTAAAATAAGCACTTGCATTTTGTCCGAAGACGTCATCCGTATGCACAGATGGAGACGAGGCAGCTTCTGATTAAAAAAACCTGTACAGTCTCAGTGAAAGTAATCAAACTCAGCATTTTCACACCCCACTTACAGTGATCTGAAACAGCAATGCAAACACAGACAGCCAAAGACAATGAAAAAACTGACACATACATATATTTTTCAGTTGAGCACTGGAATAACAGCTGGGGATAACTTTTCCTACATGAAAATATGTTTTTATCTATTATCGTCAAAACTGAAAATGGAAATGTTTGTCAAACAGCTAAGGTATGAAAGACAGCTATGAGTTCATACTTTACTTGATGACAATCGATGTATTTATTTCATATATGAAAAGTGGGCTGGGGGGAAGATGGATATATGAATCCATCTAACACTGCTATATCTAAAATTGTGATAATAATCTTAGCTAAGGTGAAATTATCAGTAGCTTCTCTCTTAGTGTTGCTAAGTCTTTTTTTCCACTAAGGTGTATCGAGCTAAATCAGTCTTCCAGATTTCAAAGTGGAACGGCAGGTCAGTTACTTCAAAAGTCAAGTCTACTCACAATGGGCTGTCCTGGAGTTGGTGGCTTGTCTTCTCCATCACTCCCTGAAGAAATGTCATCTGCACCTCCAAACAGATCCATAACATCTGTATGTTCTTGAGCAGAAAAATTGTTATTTTTAAATACGCATGTACACACACACACATGTACATATACGCACACACGTTTGCTTTTATTACCACTTAAAATCACCTACAAAGATTAAAAATTGAAAATGTTTATAAAGCAAAGATTATTCTCTTAACCTACAAAAAAAAATTTTCCCTTGTATTTTTAAGCTGAAGATTCAAGCTATGTTTGTCCTGGAAACACTCTCTTAAATGAGAGAATCTAGTTGACAAACAGCAACAGAAAAATCAAGATTAAAAGTTCATCTTTTATTCAATACACAAAACAAATATTTGTAAACAGCAACTTCATTATATGTTTTGGAAATTTTATTTCTGAGAAGAATCAACACCTATTTCACAGACAGTTAAATGTCACAGGAAATAGTGCACATTCTCTCAAGCTCCTCTAACTATATGCACCATTTCTTTACCTTCTTCAGAAACAAGGAGAGAACCAACATTTACACATGAAAGGTTCTACCTCTCACGCAGGAGACTGAAAGGCAGACAGAGCTAACTAGAACTAACCATCAAAAATGCAGTGCATACTTCCCTACGTGGAATTTTTGTTATACCACGTTGTTATTTCTGTGATATTACAGTTACACCATATAGCAAACACTATTAATTGTATCGGGTTCTGTGGGGCCGATGAATAAGGCAAGTTTAAGACAAGGATTACAAAACAAATGAACCAAAAACCCACAAAAGCCTCACATGCACACAACCCCACCACTTACCTTTCTGTCCTTCTGTGTCACTGTCCACTTCTGAATCTGATGCAATTGGTTTCTTTCGTTTCATTCGCAAAACTTCATCTTCACTATCACTGCCCCTTGCAGACTCTACTAGAGAGTATAATTATTCTCAGCAAAGTAAGAATTTTGCTCCACATATTTTAGAATTCCTTTGTATTAATAAAGTTGATTCAGATTATAAGGAATTTTTTAAAGCTACATAAAAAAAAACTTTACAAAGATGACCACAGTTCATGGTCGTCTAAGTGATCAATGCCTTTACGTATGAGTTTTTCAAGTCAATATAAACGAAAAAATAGCAATCAAACTCGGCCTGTAAGAGGCAAATTATTACCACAGTACTAAGTCCTACCAGATTTATGCTCTTGTTCCTCCTCATCAGAGTGTTGGGCCCTTTCGTCATCATCAGAGTTCTGCATCTTCTCCTCGTCAGAATGCTGGGCCCTTTCGTCGTCGTCAGAGTTCTGCATTTTTTCCTCCTCCGAGACCTGAGGCCTCTCTTCATCATCGGAGTTCTGCATCTTCTCCTCGTCAGAGTTCTGGAGTCTTTCCTCATCATCAGACACCTGTGGCCTTTCATCTTCATCAGAGTTCTGTACTTTCTCTTCATCATCAGAGTTCTGCTGCCTCTCCTCATCGTCAGAATTCTGCTGCCTCTCCTCATCGTCTGACTGATCGCTCTTGTCCTCTTTGCCCCATTTTTCATCTTCTGAAGGTGCTTTGTCAGAACCATCTCCCTCTGAATGATGGCTGCCTTCATCTGATCCATGCCCTCTGTCATCGTCATCATCATCATGAGCAGCTTCTGAAGCACTGTGCTGATCCACGTCAGACTGATCATTATCTTCATGCTCAGAATGTCCTGAAGCTTCAGAACGATTGTACGATCTTTCAGAGTGGTTGTCACTCCCCGTATGATGTGATGCTCCTTCATCCTCACTATCATCACCAAATAACTCTTTATTACTAGGTTTTACAGTTTCCCTGTCATCATCCTGGTCACTCTCACTTCCAGAAGCGTTACTACCAGAGCCAGCATTCTCCTGGTCGGAATCAGATTCGGATCCAGAATCAGAATCTGCAAAACAAACGTCACCCTTTCAAAAGTTAAAATGTCCCTGCAAGGAGAAAAATAAAGAGATGGGTATTGCTTTAAGAGAAATAAAAGACAGAGAACTATAAGAAACAACTGCAAAAGTTACCTAGAACAATAAAATGTTACCGATACAAATAAAGGCACACGCAATGAAAGAGATAACGAAAAAAGGATGGACAGCACATAATCACTTAAGATTGTAAGCTCTTAGAAAGAACATGCAGCATACAAAAGACAGTGAAGTTTGAAAAGGGAATAAAATAAGTATATATGGTGTTTATGAGATTGTACAAATTTAAAACTATCATCATTTCTGAATCAAAGTTAGCTGCTCTACCCCTTTTTTGTACCCTGACACACTTGCCACATTGGACCTGCTCTTAAGCGCTGGCATTGTGGCATACAATTGTAATCAGGAAAAAAAGAACATCTGCTTTGAAAAATAATTAACGTGCATGAAAAGTAGCATTTTGAAAATAGTCAAACGACTTAAGTTCTGAAACAGTATCTACTGGGAGGCAATCCATCACTTTCCTTTAGATGACGATAACAGTTAAAACTTTTCTGGATAAAAAGGGGCAAACAGGAAAAGTGCTTTGTTTCCATCAACCCAAACCCAAGCAGCTCTAAGCGAACTTATGCTCAAACTTCCATTCATCAAGTTCGTTATGAGAATTAATCTTTTCATTTGTTCCTGATCAAGAGTTTTCCGAAGAGGTGGTGATGGGACAGAGTCTCTAGAAAGCGTTTTTTCTTTGGTCTGGGTCTTCTTTTTGGAACATGTAAACGGGCACTGATGAACTGTTAAAGGAATTAAAACACTCTTACTACAGCAGAGCCTTTTGCAGGGGAAAACAGCTCTAACAACGCCTATGAGTTCGCTTTTCGGTTAGAAAACGAAGCGTGCAGAAGAGCTCCTGGGCAGCACCTCCTGCCGCGGAAACCCTGGAGGGAGCAGCGGGTGCGCTCAGCCGCATTCACGAGGCGGCAG